CACCGTGTGACGTGAGCGTCGGCAGCAACCTGAAATCCACAAGCATTTCTTCGGCGCTGTGACACCCATGTATAATCAATGTGGACTTCAGATTGCTACCGCCGCCTGGTAGTTTACTGGGTTATTACCTTATTACCTTATTACTACCAACTTTATTGGCGAATGAAATGAAGCAATGCTCTGTAAAATATGGTCAATAGATTTTAACAGTTATTCACAAATGTTTCCTTATGAGAATATCAATGTTGCCAATTTGAAACATGGTGGGTAAAGTTTTCCATATGTTTAACATGATAGGCAAAAAGTAATAGTTGCATAGAAAATAAAATGCGCACAAAGTATTAGGTCGCCTTAACGTCCAATAAAAGTAATTATTTATTTAAATAAAAAATGATATTCCTGATTGACTTGGCTATGATGACTATATTCTCATTCAATATGATATAAAATAAATGCCTCCACGTAACTAAAATCTAGACAAAAACGTAATAAGAAGAAATACGATACTCATATAACTGCAAGATTCTCTAAAGTACAGCAACATACAAACTAGAATAAATAACATAACATATTATAAAATAGTAATGAGACAAATCACACATATTGCAAAACGAGAATTGACTTAATACTGTGCTATCACAACACAATACATAACATTGGACATACACGGTTCGTTTCTTATTACAAACAATTCATAGTTTGGACTAGTTTCAATCCAGGCGGATTATACGAGCAGTTTGTTATAGACAATATATATTGTGCGGTACCCTTGTTGATCATCAATCAAGGGTCGAGAGGCAACCATAGTGAACAGTTGTAACTCGAAATAATTTCCTCTTCTCAACGCATAATAGGAAATAAGGTAGTATTCATGTCTGCGTCTTATTGACCATCATCTAATGTTCTTGTCTATGACAAACCGCACGTGTCATCAGCATAGGGATGAAAGCAGTCACATAGGACAATATGGATCCAGAGCCGCATCTTTAAAAGAAAGTGCTTAGGCATCTTCAAATTGGATTCAAATTACTTAAGGACTTAATACCACTATAGACCAGGAAATATTTAATTTCTCTATTGTTCGAAGTCAAATTATATTTTTTTTTTGCAAAAACCTTGATTGTTAATTTTACATATCAGAAGAGTAGCTTCTCTAGTGCGGTTAAAAAGTCTAATGCAATTGTAAGGAACCTCGTTTTGTGTATATATTTCTCGTATTGAATTTTATTCTAAGACTGTAAAATTTAGATAATTTATAACATATAACATGATGAAAATAAGTTTTATTTATTTTCTAAAAACACTTCAAGCGCTTCTGCACAAAACTTGGTAAATAATCAACTTTTTGTAGAAGAATTACTAAAAATTATTCTCGGACATCTATTCACTGGAGTGGCATTTGATATATTATTTCTGTCACTTCAACAAATTTTCTTATTCTTGAAGAAATAGACGCAGATAATTTCAATATATATATATATATATATATATATATATATATATATCCCTTTGGAATTATCTGCGTCTAGGGTAGTGCTTAATATGGATATTTTCGAATTTATTTGCTCCCATAGGCTCAAATACTTCCAAATTGATAAAAAAAATTCTCTGTAAGTTTTAGCTCTTAATATTAACTTTAAGATAGTCCGCACTCTAACCAAAGTTCTTATGAGCATAACAAGAGTAAAATTCCATTTGTTTTTAAGAATTTTAGAAATTAGCGACAAGTGAATCAAAATTGCTTATTTTGATAAATAAGAAATTTACAATAAAAATTTAATATATTTCGTAAAATAAGTATTTACTTAGGAAGGAGAACCAAGAAACTTCGGTTGGAGTGCGAACTATCTTAACTTTAATATTAAGAGCTAAAACTTTCATAGATTTGTTTTTTGTTAATTTGGAAGCATTTGAGTCAATGAGTGCAAAAAAATCCACAATATCTATATTAAGAATTACGCTGATCTATTGAGCCAAACAGAGCGCTTGTTTTTCTAACAACACTCAGATTAATGAGCAAACTCCTCTAGTTCTGTTAAAAACTATAATACAAGGTTTTGTGCAAAATTCATTTATTTTTTATGTATTCTTAAATGTTTTCTTTCCTATTTTATTTTCCTGGTCTATAATAAAAGTGCAAGATAAAAAAAACACAGCTCTTGATAAAACTTCTAAGTAAGGTACTAATGCTTAAAATTGCAGAATTATCAATACATGGAAACTGAGATGCTACACTTAGATTTATGATCAAATGCAGTCAGATGACTAATTCTGTCTAATTACATCAATTCAATACATAAGCGTTGGTGACAAATTTTTGAATTCGTATTGCTTCGTTAATGATTCGATTTGATAGATTTCATGTCGGTGGCGTATTGAATATTGTATAATATATTAGTGTCGTGTGTACTTTGCTTACTGAAGCAGATAAGTTTACATATATTATAGGTGGTCTTTGGAAGTTACAGCTTAAATACGTCGTATAAATTCATGTGTGACGTGTTTACAAACTGACGTATCATAATATCCAAGTAGACCTTCGCATACATCAACAGAACCGAAGAGAACGATATCATGTTGAGTATGTCACATGAAGTTTTAGCATAGTTGATTGACTAAAACACTTTATTATCTGCAATGTGACTAATGTAATTAATTACTCTGACTGAAGAATGCTTCAGTTAGAATCCTTTCGTGTCATATTACTTTTACTTAAGTATGTTACAAGAAAATCAGATTTTCAGTTGATAAATTGTATAAAAAAGTCGGCTAGTTTCATTTTCGTCGCTGGATTGCGTGTAATGATTTACCCTTTAATATCAACATAGCTTACTTTTATCTAAATCATATGTGCATTGGAGTTAATTGAAATAGGTGCGTGTTTCGTATATATTCATGCAAGTTGATTATTTCAAAATCATGCAAGGTCCATTTATTTTATGAGATTATTAAAAATTGCTTTGTATAACTATGGTATATATTCATGATACTGTTACATACATATATGTAACTTTTTTTAATTTCAACAAATTAATTGGCGCATACCCAAAGTGAAAAAAAAGGGAAATTAAATAATATAATTAATTATCTTTTATTTTTTCACTGCGTATGTCGCATATGCTTTGAAGCTGTATATATATATATATATATATATATATATATATATAAAGTTGGCTATCAAAATTTAATCAAAGAAGATTCTCCAATTCTTCAACTGATGGTAATATTATTTAACGTATGGTCGTAATTCATTATAAACTTTTAAATCTATTGTTTCTAACATTAAATTTCCAAAGATATTACATGGGAAATTATCTTATATTAAAGTATTTGTTATTTAGATTAATTAATTTGGATCCCTTTATATTTTGTTGCGTATTGAGATACATTGTTTTTGAAAAATCTGGAATGAATACGTGATAAAATTGCTCTACAATATTAAGTTTTTTATATATTCGTTGATTCTTAAGTTATACATTCAATAATTTTCTTTTAACTTCCCGTAGAGTAAGTAGTATAGTAATCGTCCCAAAATCCAAAATGAAAATTTTTGCACATTTTTACGTTTTCGAGGTTTCTGAACATTTTGGCATATCTTAGAAAGAATTGATGTATGTGTGTGTATGTGTTTTGTGTAAACACAATTTTTCGTCTACGATTTCGGACGCACGGATCGATCAACCGATTTGAAATATTAAAAAAATATTGCATTCCTACTGATGGGAAGACGTGCTGATTAGTTTTGGCAAAGACAGGTCTAGCCGTTTCGGAGGTATGAAGCAAAGAGTGCAGAAAATATGAATTAAGTTTTTGAGAGAGTTTTGTGAGAAAAGGCATACATTTTTTAATTTTTTTTTAATTTCTGAAAAATAATTTTATTCGAATTTCAATTTTAATTATAGGTAAAATTAAAAAAACTCAATTATAAGCTTTTACATTTTGTCTATAAAATAAGAATAATGAAAGTTACAGTATTTATAATAATCTATATCAAAACATGTAAAATTCCTCGAATATTTCATTACGGTACGGAAAGTTTCAGAAATTTGCTTCAAGGCACGATGCCATGACCACTAGTTTTAATTTTTATTGACCTTCGTTACTTGGAGCATTCAGCCATACCTACATTTTTGCATTTTATACTATCTTCATATAGTACATATTTTTACTATGCTATGCAATTTTCTTAATAACTTATTCCATCTTTTTCATATAACCTTGCTTCTTCTTCTAATATTTATTTCTATTTTATCTCAAGTCAACAATTCAAATTCTACTTAATTTCAATCGAACAAATCAAATAACCATTTCGAGTCAGTGTCAGGACTCGAACCGACGTGTTAGTCGGAAATGCTATTGACTGAGCTAGCTAATATTGCCATCATAATCACTATAATTTTTTGAAGCGTGTCTCATAAAAATTTTCATCTGCAGATAAACACCATTGTTTATTCCTAATAGCTATTGATTTTGCTTTAAAATCAAAATCAAAATGATATTTTTACAATTATTTTATGTTTTATATCTGTTTTCTGCCTTTTTAGAAATTACTAGTTGACAACTTAAAATCTGTTTAGTAAAAGTCATTCGGAAACCACTTTTTATTACATTTTGTTTGACGATGACTTTAGTTTGCATCGAACACATTATTATGGTTTTAAAGTGCTTAATTGTTAGAATTATGATTTTATAACAATAAATAATTTATTAAATGTATTTTTGTACTATATGTAAAAAGCAATAACTCATACTTCATATAATAAATTACTTACATTTTTTATGAAATGGCCTAAAAGATAATTATATGAAAATGTCACAATTTTGAAAAATAAGTCCGAGGCCAACACGATTCATTAATAACGACTATAAACAAATGTCAATTTCATTTTGAACAAATGAAACAAACTTATACGCACCTCATCTAAGTATCCGCTGGATTTAAAACAATAAACAACGAAAAGGTTTTGCTTTTTAAAATTTTCTTATATCAGTGCCTAAAAATGAATTCTTTGGACGGTATCGGAAAGATGAAGCTGTTGTCAATAACTGAAGAAAGTACAGACGAAGGGTATTTATAATTTGATATAAAATTCATTAGTTTAATATAAATAATTAAAAAAAACTATATGATAAAGTCACTCAACAAAACTTGAGTACAATTGACGTTTTCGAAAATGACAATTAGAAAAATACTTGCTAATATATTATATAATCAAATTTGGTTTTCTATAGTATCAATTTAGAATAATTTTGGGTTATTAATTTAAATTGATTTAAATATAACATTATGGTAAATAATTATTGTCTTTAGCCAAAATGCCGTATTAGAGATCGTCTCTTCAATCAATACGAGCGCTTTATTTGATCAAACCCCATCTCTCGAAACTTTAAGGTAAATTTGAATAAATATAATTATTTTAATAGATAATAATACGAAAACGAATAATTTTGTCATTTTAACTGTGCAATTTAACTCTTATTTAACCTATCATATTTTTTCTGTAAGTTAAAGGTGTGTTTTGTGGTTTTCTAAAGAATAATTCTTGATAAATAAATTTTAAATATTATAAGGAATCATAAAAAGTAATTGTATTATACAATCGATTATATTTTAAAATATTTTATTATTATTGACATCGACTAGAGATTGGTCTGGGTCCGTGGTTTCCAATCTGTGAAGCGCGGTTTCTCGCGGGGGGTAGAGGGTATTCCAAAGGGGGCGTACAGCTGTACTATAATACACTATTTTCAAATAAATAGTTAAAATACTATTTTCCAAAATAAACCAAAAACGTTGAAATTATATCAGGAAATTAATAAATAAATGATTTAAAATGTATATTGTTACAAAATATTACACAATCTTGTAGTCTGATAGTTTATTTATAATAATTATTGAGTTTTTATGTTAAATTAAATTGTTAAAAAATGGAGGAGGGGGGGGGGCGCAACAATTTTTTATGGGGGCGGTAGTAAAAGGTTGGAAACCACTGGTCTGAGTTATTGTTAGATAGATACTCGCTTTTAATAAAAGTTTTCTCGGCATCACGTTGTTAATTTGAAACTTACGATCACTTTCTGATCACGATTACCTTCTGATTTAATATTGAATTATTTTTTTAAATATCAATTCAGTGTTATTTTGATAAGTGACAGAAAGTTACTTTAAAGTTAGATAGTCTATTATTTTGAGTTTTAATTAAAATATAGAGTATAAAGATGCTACTGGCACTTATTTTGCCAGCTTTATTTTCAACAAACATACGCTACTTTAGAAATTTATTGTCCTTTAACCTTTAATATCTTTTTGTATTTTTAACATTTGTTATTGCCTAATCAAAGATTGAACAAAAATTGTTTCAATATCTTGCATTATTAACTTTAATTTAATAAACCTTAATAAATACACAACCCTTCTTTGCACGATTTTTTATATTTTAATAAAATAAATCAGTGTGATGTAATCAATGCTCTAGATTAAAGGAAAAATATTTTAAAAAATCCTAATGTAAATAAAAGTATGTAATTAATAGAAGTATATATTATGTAAAAAAAAAACAATATGGTGGAAATTTACATCATCATGCATTGCCACATATATATGGTACACTATATATTAAAATATATTGTTCACTAAATATTCTTTTCTTTTTATAATAATTTAAAAAACAATCTTAATTTGATTGATAGATTGATTGCACAAATTGATACCACATTTACTGAATTGGCCGATTGTAAGCAGACTCTTTTTACGTTCACCTCTTTCTTGAGCATTTTTATAAACATTCCAAAAGTTTATAATAGCTCGATAAAATAAATTTAAAAATATGCAAATACCACTTTTTAGACCTCTTTGTTATATGATTTTTGCCCAAAAAGCTATCCATGAGATCTACTTCTCCCATGTGTTTATTGTTCGAACTTTGGCGACCAGTATGATCTTGTGCTAGGAATTTTGATTACTGACATGTAGAATAATATATATATATATATACCAAAGAATTTATACAAATCATAATCTGTTTCTTTAAAAAACAACTAAAAAAAAAAACAATCTTTGCCATACATTACAAGTGGAACTGCTGTATAGTGATGTAAATTTCCATCACATAGTTTTGAAAACTTCATTGACAGTGTTTTGATATAAATTGTACATAAGACAACAAAAACATGAAAACAAACCCTTTTCTCACTTATTTTCACTTTTACTGTATTTTATATCTTCGTTTATTTCCTCATAACAAACTAAGAACTCACAACAAGCAGCAAAATGACAAGTAGTCCTGGTAATTAACAGTGACGTTTGCTATTTTTTTAAAAATTGCATTTTGTTGTAAGCAATGGTCGCTTAAAATCTTGCCAGCAATAACAAATTTACAGTGCAAGGATTTTTAGTACTTTTTTTTGTTGACTAAATATTATGATTGAAATTTTCATCGCCATGCAAAGAAGGGTTAATTCTGTTTATACAGCCAAATTATTCATAATGCAGGGTTTTACTAAAAAACAGTTTTCATATCTTCGCTTAGAGAATTCAAGTATAATGACAGCCTATAGCTTCAAAATCTGATAGATATGAAAATTATTGCTTAATTTTGTAGTTATGGCAATTAAAGACTCATAATTAATCAACTATTTAAGTACATACTTATAATTTTAATTTATATTGAATCAAAGCAATGCCGGCCCAAGTACGCAGGAGGCACCTACAACAACCGATCCTGAGGCTTCCAAGGCCACGCAAAGGATTCAGTTTGTTAGGAACTTGGCACAGTTGGCTTCTGCCCAAATCAATACGGATCGGTATCCATCCGATTATCAGAGGCAATTGGCCAGACGCAGTGCTATGCACCGAAAACGAATCATCGAAGAGATTGAAAGGACCAAGCCTCCTAGCCCAAAGAATGACAAGACTGATGAGAAATCCGAGCACAGTGCATGTTGCGATGAAGTAGGAACTGAAGCTAGGGATGATTTTGGTGATGAAATGGGTGAATATGGCGAAGGAGGCGACGTATACGAAATGTATGGACAGTGGTCCCAGATACGCATGCGGTACTTGCAACCAAACCATGATGAAGCCGAACCACCATCAGCAGGAGCTATCGTCTTAGGAGCTGGTGACGACACAAACGCTGAAGAAAATTGGGACGATCTATAATAATTGCATAACCCAATTTATCAAATATAGTCCACAGCTGTAATTTTTTTTCTTATATATTGCACAAATTCTATTATGTTAAATTGATCTTTAACCTAATGTTACTGTTTAAAGGAGACGTTAAAATTGTTTGTCTTTATATAAAAATTGCATATGTCTAAAAATTCAATAATAAAGTTATTGTAAAATATCGAGACTTGTTAAGTTATTGAGTTAAGTAAATGAATCATTTAGCTGGCAATAGAGGGATGGAATTCTTAGTATTTGAATTTACGAAAGTTATAAATTTTAGTTACGGCAACAAGCTCGACTTCCTATAACTTTTGTGGTCGAATTTCTGCACTTTGTTGTACATTTGAAACAAATTAAATATAATTTTAATTATTGAGTTGAATTTGAAGTCAGAATAAAAGCAAGAATAGAATTAGAAATCAGATTTAGAAGAAAAATGAAACAATCAGTTGTATAGAGCAAAAAAAAATTGAATAGAATAAGATATATATTTAAATTATATAAAAAAGTATAGAATAAATACAAAAGTAGTTATAGAGCACATACAAGCAAAGATAGTTTAGAATATATATGAAGATATTATCTTATACATTAAAATGAATTGCAAAATGTGTTGGTAAGCGCATAACGGTGAGAAAAAATCGAATAATTGCCGGGAAGACCCTAAAAACAGCCCTTTCCATTTTCACATACAAACGTTTTCTAACTAAAACGCAGGATCAATTTGAGCTTTAATTCCTTATAATGTGTAAATAAATAAGGTGAATTAGCGAATTTATAAAGTTAAACTGGTGGATAGGTAAATTGGAGGATATGTAAAATGGTAGAAAGGAGAACTGGTAGAAAGACGAATATGTAGACAAATAAACAGGTTGTCAGGTTAATTGGTAAGCATGTAGAACGAGATGACAGGTAAACTGGAAAGCAGGTAAATTGGTTGACAGGTAAAATGGTGTATTAATAAACAGGTCGATAGGTGAATTGATAGACAGGTGAATTGGTAGATAAGTAAATTGGTGAAAAGATAATTTGTTGGATAGCTGGTGGTTAGGTAAATTGTGAAATGGTAGACTGGACAACTAGTAGATAGACATGTAACAAGACGGATAAACAGGTTGACAGGTAAATTGGTAGACATGTAAAATGGGTTGATAGGTAAATAGGTTGACAGGTAAATTCGTAAGCCGGTAAATAGTAGAGTGATTAACAAGTTGATAGTTAAATTCGTAGACAAATTGTTAAATAGGTAAATTGTTAAACAGATAGTAACAAATACGCATATTTGTTCAACTTCATAATTTAAACAAAATTACGCCAAAGCATGAACGGGTACGGCTAGTTGGATATAAAAATGAAATGTAGGTGGCTAATTTTTTTTTGTCAATCAAAACTTAAGTTTTATATTACAGATAATTTAATATTATTTAAAATTATTCAGTCATTTACGCAGATCTGCAGAATAAATTGGCTAAATACAAAACGGCGACAGAACGTTTGTTTATTGATAAAAATTTATAGGGTAGGGCGGGGTACAAAAGTCCAATTTGACTGAGCAATTATATTGTGAAAACCAAACCAATTTATATCAACAAATATCACATTCCGACCTAAAAACTGACTGTTCAGTAAAACTACCAGCTAATTCAACATTGTATAAATGTATTCTTTTTGCTGTTTTTCAAGAAAATTGTTACCTGGTCTTTTTTATCCCATATGCGGGGTAGAATGGGACGACAGGGGGTTCAGTGTCTCATTCTTTACCTTACAGGGATTTTATGAAATAATAGCTACATTATTCAACCAATGCAAAATATAAATTTTATAGGTACATTTCTTTACAGAGATAACGCTGTATATAACCTCGATTTGGTATTTTGTCAGAAATAATTATCAGCATAATTGGAATAACTATTTATTTAACTTATCTCTTTTAAAACTACCTTTCTTAATTTAACTTACATTTTTATTCATTTTTTATTATTACAACCTTTGCCAGGGTAAAAGTTCACTTGGTCCTTTTGGTTATATAAATTTTTTTTTGAATCTAACTTACAATTAATAATAAATTAATGTAAATTAATGTAAATTAATGTGAATCTAAAAGTTACATTAACTTATAGGGTCTCGTAAACTAAATAACAGTGCTCACAACCAAAAAAAAACTAATAACGAAAGAAAATACTTTTGTTACGTAATTTTAAATATTGACGTTTATCTCTCGATAGCAACATCGTAGGAATCAAGGTACTGACTGATTATACATCTTATATCCCATACATTCAAATATTATTGTTAAAAAAATCTTAAAATTATTTTGAGATATCGGTGAACTTTCAAGCCCCGCTCTACTCTACGTTATAAATTCTAGCTAAACATGAATCAAGTATAGTAACTTATATTTACTTTTCATATGTATATAAATATGCAAATATATACTAGGCATATTTACTAGGGTGGTCCTTAATATGGACATTTTTGAATTGCCTTGCTCCCAAGGGCTCAAATGGTTTCAAACTGATAAAAAACAATTCTCTGAAAGTTTTAATTCTTAATATTAACTTTTAGATAGTGCGCAAGTCAATCAAACTTCTTATGGAAATAGCTTGGAAAAAATTTTGAAAATTAAAAAAAAAGTTAGGTATAACTTAGCGACAAATGAATTAAAAGTAAAAATTCGTGTCATTTTTTATTGAAAATTCGATGCTCCGCAAAATTTTTGAAAACTTTTTCATGCTATTTCCATACAAAACTTTGATTGAATTGCGGTCTATCTGAAAGACAATAGTAAGATCTAAAACTTTTAGAGAATTGTTTATCAATTTGGAACCATTTGAGCCCTTGGGAGCAAAGAAATTCGAAAATGTCCATATTAAGGATCACCCTAATATTTATATATAATTTGTGTACTTAACTTTAACACTACAGTCCCCTTTGAGTATAAATTAAATTCGATAAAGAATCATCGATATTATTTCTGTGACAATCGAATCGTTTTGTTTATCGCGAGTGTCGCACGCTCCGGCTCTCTTCTCTGACAGTTTGATATTTGCAAACAAACGCAAAAGCTCGCTGGGGATTTAGCGATTTTCTTTCTGATCGGCAGTTTTTCGTTTCGATGTCTATTAGGTATTCCCTTTGACACGAAACGATGGACTTTGCGATTCGATGCGACTGACTTGAATCGATCAATCATATCCATTAACCGCACTGTACACATATCGAAATAAAATATTTTATACGACGTCCGATTTCGTTTTCTTGGGTCCGTAGATATTCGATATCACGATTGAATATTCTCAGCCATCAGATTTTTTTAGAGATATAATATTACGATCTGTCCAGGTTAGATGTATCTGTATTTACAATACTGCTGTAGGTATAATACGCAATAAAAAGGTGATTGCTGATTGTATATTTTCTGATATAAACTATACATTTTATCTATTAACATTAAAGCTAAATTATCATTTTTGGCACTTTTTGCCACGTGTCTTCGAAACGGCTAGACCTGCCTCGACCAAAAACTAATCAGTACGTCTTCCCGTCAATATCAATCGAATGTTTTTTTGAATCATTCAAATCGGTTGGTCCGTTTTATCGCAATGATCGACGAAAAATTGTACCCGCATACACACGCGCGCACACATACATATGTACATACATTTTTTTCTGAAGTATGTAATCATTTTAACTCTGTTTTATTTAGCAATCAGAAATACATAAAGATTCCTATGAGCTAAATTGATAATATTTAAGAGCGATACCTAAGAAGAACTCCAATGAGATCTTCGCAGTTTAACAATTAATATGATAATATTATATTAGACCTAATCTAAGACTAAATCTAAAGGCCAGTGTCGTATCAATCTCCTTATGCCAAAAGGTTGAGGAATGTCAACTATTGATGAATTCGAATGTGAGTCCAGTTTGCGTTTGTATTTTTCCTTAAATTCTTTGAACGTTAATTGCATCGTTTTCATGTTGAGGTCGCTGTGAATAGTTTTATTTGTCACGTTCCACGGAGAATTAAAAATTGTACGTAAAATTTTTGACTGAGTTCTCTGCATTATAGCTATATTTGATTTATAAGCACATCCCCAGAGCTCAATTCCGTAGGTCCAGATTGGTTTAATGATTGATTTATATAGAAGCAACTTATTTTCAACAGAGAGCTTAGACTTTTTACACAGTAGCCAATCAAATTTTTTCATTTTGATCATTATTTGCTGCTTTTTTGTTTTTATGTGGCTTTTTCAAGTAAGTCTGCTGTCTAAATGGAGACCAAGATATTTCACTATGTTCCGTTTGAATCTGGACGTTATTTAAATAAATTGGAGGACACGTACCCTCTCTCAGGGTAAATGTGATATGAGCTGATTTGGTTTCATTTATGCAAATGTTCCATCTGGCAAAGATACATGAACAATTTTAATTTCGTTTTTTTTGCGATTATTATAACTTATCCTAAAGGAATTTAGGCCATGGTAACTTTATTAGATAACGTAGTTAAAAATGTATCAAAACAACTTAATGTATGAGGATCTTATTTTGCCAAACTTCTTAGAGAAACATTATTATTAAATGACACACATAAGACTGACATGGCACATCAACTGAAAAAATATACCAATATATAACTACGTTTATACCATGTTTTTGTTTCTAGTGAGCCAAGAAATTTTCAGATTCTATTCCTGATAGGTCAAGCTTTTGAAACATACTGCAAATGTATTGTTTGCGTCGGACATCTGTGATTGACGTGGCTTTCTACCAATTTGCTTATGGCAGATATACATGTCTGACATGACTCGAATAAAACTTCTGAGCGCCAGACAGAAGTGTAACGTGTTCAAAGTTCAGAGATAATTAATTCGGTATAGATTTCAATTTTTAAGAAGCTATGTTTTTGGTATTTAAGATTTTTTTAAACCATCAAAATTTGCTTTTTATTATTGATCTTCCTTTTCATCAATTAATTATACCAATTAGATATGTCCATCAGTTTTATATGATACC